GACTGTGTATTATACAGATAATATAAAGCATAAAATAGTTTTCATATATAAAAATTACTTTTCCAGCACATATTAATGTGCCTTTCATAAGCTCCTAATTAGGTTATGTTTTCTCCTAAATTTAATTCCACTTTATGACCAACAGTTGAGTAGACTTCAACTTCATTTTTGGTTCCAATTTTCATTCTGTTCAGTGTGTGTGTATATATATGTATACACAAGAAGATAATCCTTTATTCATCTTTTGAGCAGAACACTTTTAATTCGTGCAGCAAAAGTCCTGTCTCTGTTCATTATCAGCCCCTGATGTGCTGCCTGGAGCACAATATCCTAATAATTGGAGTTTAAGAAAAAAAAAAGCCGCTTATAAAAGTTACAGTGTTTCATTTTTGTGCATGTTCTGATTCTAAATTATTTAAGCATTTGACTAGCTCGTAGACATAGAAACTTATGTCTCCCATGCATTTTTCCACCCCAAAGTACTCTATGGTTTCCTTTGTCTTACACACTACGTCAGAGTATTCAAATGCACTGTGTAGTACCAGTAGCCTGTGGCACATTACAAGAAAAATTGAGATAGTTTCTCAGTTAAATGCATTTTATTTTGACCTATTTCCTTCCACTTGAGTCTAACATTTGGTCTCTTCATAGTCAATATTCTGTTTTATGGAAAGGTTTTAAAATTTTACTGAAGGAGGTAAGAGGTGAAGGACAAACTAAATTTATATTATTCCTTTTGCCATTATTATTAAAAATAGGAAAGAAGAAGTGTTGGGGAAAATACAGTGAATGCTGATGCAATTATATGTGCAAAGCTACGTGCTTGCTTTTACTCTTGAAATTTAGACCTCTGCTTAACGTTCTCTTCTCTTCTACAGACTGGGACAGTTCATTTCAGTTGCATTTTCCAACTACTGACATCCATGTTCATTCCTAAATTCACTTCATATGCTTCCAAATCCTTAGGACAACATTCAGTTTAGACAAACCAAGAAAACTCTGGAGTGATTCCACTGACTTAAATGTAATTACTCAGTGCTGAATTAAAGGCACAGGCACGTAACTTAAGACCCATGTGTTTGGAGTAACAAGAAGAGATCAAAATCTCAGCTTTTATCATTAAATTCAATGTTTCTAGACCTTAATCTAAGACACGTTTGTAGAGAGAGGTGATAGCTTCTTTTTAGATGCATTATTAAATCTTGAAGAAAATAAGTCAATTCTGGGCCTGTAGAACCCTGTTGGGGTCTTCCACTGGGTGAAACGACCGTGAAGGTGGCAGTCAGATTTTTCAGGTGGTGATTAAGTGCCGTGGACGTCTCACCCAAGTCATCTTGCATTTCCTCTGCTGCTTTAATTGCACAAAGAGCCATTGACCTCATTTTGTGACAGGACTGTACCAACAGTGTTTTCTTGGACTGCTCACATTTTCTCCCAGCTCACCGTCTAATACTAACCTGTGACTAAATATTAAAAAAAAGTGAGCTGTGAATGATTTTAAGGTGAGACAAGATTGTCACTGTTAATGGCTGTTAGGGGGGTACTTTTGAATTAGACGATCAATGGAGCGTAGAGGCGTGAGAAAAAAATCATATTAGGATGTGAAACCAGCCAGAGTGTTGTACAATGTAAGGTCCATTGTGTTTTTTAGCAAGTCAACTTGATGTCCCTCATGATCAGAGCTGAGTTCCTTCTTGGCTTGGCTCCATGCTGCAAGATGGACACAAATACCCTTGAAACACAATGGGAGAGGTCGTCCATAGGGGTAAGAAAGATGCTGGTGAGAGGAAGATTGTGTGGGCAGGGGTCGCTCGCCCCTTGCCCTACAGCAGGGCATGCGCAGACTGTTGCTATCAGGTGATGAACAGGCGGGGTTTGGCTGCCACTCAGGCATCACCTTATACTGTGTACTGACCCTATGTGGTGTAATGCAGAGCTGATAAAATGGGGTGTCAGGACTGCTGGGGTGAGCAATGCTCATCCTTCACTCGAGACTGTTGCTCCGTGGGGACGCCTGCTAAGCATGGGCACCGACCAGCTGCTGCAGATCCTGGCAGCCCTGGCCTGTCTGTGTGGGTAAGCACAGTTTATTGATAGGAAGCAACCGAGAAAGCAAATGCTTTATATCCTTTTTTGGAATCCTTTTAATTCCCTTTTTACTGATTAATACTGTATTAAAAGCTGTTCATAGTATTGTAGAAATGCCAACTGATAAAGTAGTTTTTTTATACTCTTTTTTAGCTTTTGATTCTCTTTGCTAGTTTTTTATTCTCACTGCAATAAAAGATTTTTTGTAGTGTTTGAATGTCTGTTGTACTTATCTTTATTCTGGGCATATATTCCAACAAACTAATACCTGGGGGCACAGCTCTTTGGGACAGGAGACGGGCAGCACCCTTGCCAGGACTCGGGGCGGTGGCAGGTCTCCTTGGGCCAGGACTTGCCACAGCTGCTGATTTGGGTGCAGCCCTGGCCAAAGGGCTCCCAGCAGCATTGGTGCCCTTGCCCACACCTTCCTTCTCGGTATCACCCCCCATGTTTAGGATGGCCACCAGCCGGAACTTCTCCCAAGGAGGCCGTGCCAACTTGTGTGGAAGGCCCCGTGCCCTTCCCACTGCGGTTGCGTCGGCGGCCGAGGGGGCTCCTTGTGCTGCCGTGAGCAGGCACAGGAGGGGAGTGCTTGCTCATTTCTTGAGCCGTTCCCACAGTTCAGGTCCAGCCAGATTAGATACTTCAGAGAGCGGATTCCCTTCAAGGTGGGGCAGGTTGGCTGGGCTGGGGGAGGCCCCAGGCCACGTGGCGCTGTGTCACAGGGCCCTTTGTGACACGCTGGGTGTGGCCGGTTGGACGGAAGGGGGCAGGGTGTCCAAGGGTCCTTTATGACCCATGGTGACAGAGGTGCTGCTGGTGACACGGCCGCAGTGTCAACAGTGCTCCTCAGAGCAGGCGTCGGGACAGGACGGGACAGAGCAGAGCTGTGCGGAGCCCCCGCGCAGCCAACTCGTACCTTGCTGTTTCGGAGCTTTTTGGAGGATTTTCTCATTTCCAGGTGCTCTCGAAGCCTTTCTGTGTTACTTGGAGACCCGGAGCTTCTCCGAGGCGTCTCCAGCCCCTTTGGCAGGTGCCCTCGAGGCCCTGCTGCAGGACTTGGAGATCCGGAGCTTCTCCGAGGTGTCTCCAATCCCTGTGGCAGGTGGCCTCAAGGCCATTCTGCCGGACTTATTGACCCGGAGCTTCTCCGAGGTGTCTCTCTTGCAGGTGCCCTCGACACCAGACTGTGGCATGGCAGGGAGACACTTCAGCCTGCTCAGGCTGCTCCGGAGGAAGAAGGAGGAGGAAAGCCCTGGGGCTGCTCCAGCACAGCAGCCTGAAGAGGTGCAGCAGGTGCAGCCCCCGCAGGAGGGTGAGTGCTGGAGCTGGGCCACAGGGCTGGTGGCTGCAGCCCCCTTGGCCTCATCCTGTCCCATCCCCTCTAGACATGCCCAGGGAAAGGGAGGGGGACAGAGGGGCCGGGGCTGATCTCCCGGCAGCCCTGCTCCATCCACTGGGCATCCTGGAGCTGGCCCTGCTCCTGGAGCCCAGTCCTGGGCTATGTTCTCCGGCCTGTCCCGCACACCCTCAGCTCTGAGCGCGCTTGCTCTTTGCCAGATGCAGGCCAGGAGCGGAAAGAAGAGCAGCTCCGTGCCCGTGGCCGCTTCCGCAGGGCAGCACAGGTACCTGCAGCCATCCCCTCCTGGGCTGAGCGTGCTGTCACTGCTCAGCCCAGCACCGCTGTCGCAGCCCTCCAGGGGACATCCATCTCTTCCCTGCCCTTCTTTCTCCTGCAGACGTTTATGAAATTCGTGGGGAGTCGGCGTAGGAAGTCCAGGATCGCATCAGCTGATGTTGAGGCTCAGCCTGACACCATCCCGACCCAGCTGAAGCCAAAGCCTGGTGTCAGCACCGCGGCGACTGCTGGCACAGCAAAGTGTGACACCGCAACCAGTGATCACACAACCCACTGGGACACCACCTCGAGCGATGCCGTGTCACACTGTGACTCTGCGCTGCCTGGGCTCACGGAGGAGGCCGAAGCCACAATGACAGAGGGCGTGGCGAGCACTGACGCCGCGCCTGTTCAGCGCCTGGCCGATGCCCCCAGCCTGGACTTTCTTGGGGAGAGAGCTGTCTCTGCTGAAGTAAGCAGCCTGTGGCCCCCCAAGATGGGTGCGCTGGGCCCCCTCAGCCTTTGAGGCTGGCACAGTGTGCTGGGAAGAGAAGCATTTCTCGGGGGAAGCTGGCCAAGTTGCTCACTCTGGCAGCTCTCCACCTCTCCCCCGTGCATCCTCCAGGCCAGACTGTGGCACTTGGGCATCTGGCAAGGCATCTCCAGTCCCTGGGGCAGGTGCCCTCGAGGCCAGAGGGTGGGACTGGATGAGGCGGAGCATTTCCAAGGCTTCTCTCTTGCAGCTGCCTTCAAGGCACGACTGCAGGACTTGGGGAGTCAAAGCTTTTCCATGGCATCTCTGCTGCAGGCAGCCATAACGCCAGACAGAGACGTGCAGCAGAACCCCCCCACAGTGCCCAAGCTGGCCTGGGTGAAGGAGGAGGAGGAGGAGGAAAGCCTCTTGCTTGCCTTCCTCCTGTAGCTGGTTTGCAGATTCATCAGGTGCATTTGGCGTGAAGAGACCACTTTCATGGCCATTGGGGGCACGGCAAACTCGGACCTCTTCAATGCCCAGACCAGCGCTGCCCTGCTGGATTTGCTTGTGGAAAACGGTGTCTACAACGGGAAGCAAGTAAGCAGCCTGTGGCCAGGGCTCCAGTGCCCCAGGGATGCTGTGGCCCCTCACGCCGGCTGCGCTGGGTCCCCTCAGCCTTTGAGACCAGCAGAGTGTGGTGGCAAGGGGAGCACTTCTTGGGGGAAGCTGGGCAAGTTGCTGGCTCTGGCAGCTCTCCAACTGTTCCCCGTGTCCCCTCCAGGTGCCGGCCATAGTCAGGTGCATCCACCAGTGGCTCACGTCCAATGTGTCTGCTGAGCACAGGCTGGACAAGACTCTTGTCCTGCTGACCGAGGCACACCCTGTGGATGTTGCAGTGACCCTGCTGCGCTCTGCCCCAGCCTGTGACAGGTATGGGGCCCACCTGCCTTGAGGGCTCCCCTGCCTTTAGACCCCATCCCCCTGGGCAACCTGTCCCAAATGGTGTGCCAGAGAGATGGAGACTTCCAGGACACTCCAGCTCCTCTCTTTGCCAGCTTTGGCATGTCAGCCCCCAATCCTGAGGCCAGCCTGCCTCCCTGCCCCACAAGGCACCGTGGCTCTGTCACCTGGGCCCTGCAGCTGCCCAGGCCACAGCGCTGTGTCCCAGACGCCCCTGAGCCAGAGTTCTGACTCCACAGAGCTGCTCGCACCATGTGGAGGACGCTCATCTCCTCCAGAGGGACTAAGGAGCCGGTGCTGCAGATCCTCTTCCGTGCGCTGAAATTCTGGCCAGCGCACAGGACACGCACCTCTGATGGGGATGAGAGCGATGTCTTTGCCCTGGCTGTGAGTTTATTGAGCTGGCCTCTGCTCACCCCCAGCTTGCCTCTGGGATGCCTTTTCATCCTCCCTCACCACTGCTTCTCCCTGCCCCAGGCACTGGGCTGCAACCCTGGCTTAGGGGCAGGTTCAGGGCCACCAGGCCGGGGGATCCCCCTGTGTCTCCCCTGGCCTCTCCCTGCCATGCTGGGGCCCTGCCACATGGACATCTGGGCCCTGAGAGCTGTCTCTGGGTGCTTTGTCTTTGGCAGGCAACTGTGGCACTCTGGGAGATCCTCCAGCTGCCCTGGTGCCCAAGGGGCGTGAAGAAAAATTTCCCCCGCCTCCTTCTGACTCTGCTCTTCCAAGTTTTCATCAGCACAGAGGAGATGTCAGAGGAGGTCGAGACCTTCTGGGGGCGATGCCGGGAGCAGCGCAGCCTTCCCCCCAACCCCAACAGGTGCTCCATCCCAGTCCTCTCTCCCTGCCACGCCCTCAGGGCTGGGGCCAGGGCTCTGCACCTGACCTGGGCTGTGCTCTGCACACAGGTTTGCAGTGCAGACCGTGAAAGCCCTGCTGCGCCAGCTGCTGGATGAGGACGTGGTGATGGTGATCCATCGCAAGTGTGGCTGGGACATGCTCCTCAAGGCTGACAGCCACCACTATGCAGTGGGTCTGCTGGCCAGGTGAGAGCCCTTTCTCCCCACTGCCCCCGGCATTTCTGCCCTGTGCACAGGCCACCCCACACAGTGCCCGTGCTGCTGGGCCAGAGGGCCTTGGCAGCCAGGGATGGCTGAGCAGAGTGGCAAAGGCGGAGAGGGGCGGCTGCACAGGAGGAGCCACCTCCCAAAGCGCCCGTGTGCCCTCCCAGGCTGGTGGCCAAAGACCAGGCCTGTGTGAGTCAGTCCCAGGAGAGCTTTACCCACCTGGCTCAGGGTCTCTGGCGCCTTTATTCCCCCTTGCAGGGAGCTGTGCCGTGTCTCCCACTCCTTCTGCCGCAGCGTCGCCGCCAACCTGCTCCCGCGGCTCAGCAGGGAAGAGCCCCTGTGGGAACTGCCTGCCCTGGCGTTCCTGGTGGAGGTGAGCCTGATGGCGAGCGCTGCCTGGCCCAGCTGCCTCCCCCTCTCTGCCCTCTCACAGCCGCAGCCGCCTGGGACGGTGCCTGCACCCTGTGCTGCTGCCTGGGCCCAGCCCCGGGCGGGTCCGGGCTCCTGCCGGCCGGGCACCCCGTCACTCCTCCCTGCCTTTCAGGTCCTGCACTGCCTGAACCCCAGACAATGTGGGCTCAGCGTCCTGCAGATTATTTCAAGGCGCCTGCGGAGTGAGTGCCCCGAGAGGCGTCGCCTGGCGCTCCGAGGCCTGGTGGTGATCAGCAAGGCTCCCGCAATGATGAGCAGGGGGCAGGGGCTGAAGCCGGGCCGGCAGCGTGCGGCTGTGCAAGGCAGTAGCTTGGCCTTGGCTGGCCTTTGGCAGGTGTGCCAGCTGCTCCCACCTCTCCTCCTCCCCGTTCAGCTGCCCGACTCCTTTGGGATGCGCCTTTGGCCTCTGGGCCCCGCGGCAGCAGCGTGGGGCTGCACCACAGCATTGTGTTCCACACAGGCTAAGAGCATCTGGAGCCTGAATGAAAGCCTCCTGGAGCTACTGCAGGATGCAGACAGAGATGTGGTTCAGATGACCCTCTCTGCGTTCATCAATGTGCTACACTTGAAGACCATCCAAATATCCAGCCCCACTGCCCTGAAGTTGCTTGAGGCGCTGCGGCTACTCTTTGAAAATGTAAGGCTCTGTGTCCCTCATCGTAGGCACTGAGTGCTGCCAGGAAACTTTGGGCCAAGTGTCATTTCAGGCCTGTGCCCCGGTGGGCCTGGAGAAGCCAGGGCTGAGGTCTTTTGCTCTTCCTTTGCAGCAGGAGCACAGCCAGCTGCAGCAGCTCTCCATGGTCCTCTTCCGGGAGGTGATGGAGGCGACAGAGAGGAGCAAGAGCCTAAAGCCACACATCTACCTGAGGCTGGTGCCATTCTACTTCAACTGGCACGATGAGAACCGGCATGTGGCAGAGGTGAGGACTCGTGGGCTCTGGTGTCCCCATGGCAGGAGGCTGCTGTGCCTCCTGCCCTGGCCCATGGTCGCCTGCAGCCTCCTCCTGGCCTTGGTGTAGGGATGCGGGTGCTGTGCCCTGGGCTGCAATGCCATGGCCCACTCTCTGTTGCTCTGCAGGCCTCTCGGGAAGCACTGTTTGGTGCAGCCAGGTTCCTGAAGTGGAGGGATCTTGAGCACCTAGTGACCATGGAGCAGCCCTGGAGGTTTGGCGAGTGCCTGGTAAGGACGGCCCCAAATCCCCAACCCCTGATGCCCAGTGTGTGGAGCTGGCATGGTGCCTGTGGTCCACACGCTGCTCTCTTCCCTGGGGTGTGCGGGCTCTTTTCCAGGCTCCCCTGCCCCCGCAGCCAGGCTGCCATGGAGCCCCGGCCCTGCTGGGCTGTGGGGCAGGGCAGCCCCGCGGCTCCCCGGGAGCACCCAGCCCTCTGCTCCCCCCAAAGCCTGGCCCCAGCGGCTGCTGGCCGGGCCTCAGGGCTCTGCGGGCAGGGGAGCCCCGTGCTGGGGGCAGGGAGCGCCCGGCCAAGGGGCAGAGCCTGAGCCGAGCCTTCCCTCCGTGCCCTGGCGCTCTTTGCAGCTGGAAAAGGACAGGAGCTGAGTGGGCCAGTATGTGCGCCAGGCCCTGCCGTACCTGGAGAGCCCAGAGGAGCCCCTGCGAAAGCTGGCCATCAAGTTCCTGGGTGAGCCACAAGGCCGGGGTCCCTCCCCGCCCCGCTGCAGTTCGACCCCAGCCCCGGCTGCTGCAGCGGCAGCAGGATGCGGCCCAGGGCATGTGGAGCCCCGAGTGGCCTGGCGCCTGCTGCCGCCCTGGGCCAGCCCAGCCCTGGGGCATCCCCATGTGGGGGACCTGTGCCTCTGGGGCCCTGACAGGCTTTGTGTTCCCAGGGATCGCTGCCAGGTCCATGAAGCAGGAGCAGCCAGAGCTGCAGCTCATCTGCCAGGGTGAGGGAAGGCACCTTCCAGCTGATCCCCTTGGGCCCTGCTCCCTCCTGGCCATGGCAAGAGCTGGCTGGGATGGCCCGGGCAGGAGGGGCTCCTCGCGTCCCCACACCCCTGGCCTCACCTTGACTCTCTTCCTTTCTCTTCCAGCCCTTCAAGGCATGACTGATGACAGCCCTGCCGTCTCAAACCTGGCACTTCAAACGCTCCACATCATCAGAGCTGTACGGAGAGCTCCATTCTTCCGATTCTGGTAGTCTCCATTCCTGCCTCTTCCAACCCGTAGAGGCGTGACAGGTGACATCAGACTCGCCATGGCAGGCCTGGCAATTCAACACTGCTGCATGCTAAGAGCTGTACAGACGGCTTCCTACTCCAGATTCCAGCAGCTCCAAGACTGGCTGTGCAGGGCGTGGAAGACGCGGCCTTTTCTGCCGGGCAGTGTCTGCCTGTGCTGCTGCAGCTCTGTGGAGAGCTGATGTGGGAAGCTCCATCTCCTGGGGCCACCTGAGCCTGTGGGGAAGATGCCTCTTCCCTGCAAGCACTTCCTTTGAGCCCCACAGGGGAACATGACCTATATGTTATCACGCACAGAGGCCCAGGAGCTTTTTTTTTGTGCCCAGTGTGCACAGGGCCTTGGGGAAGAGGGGGAAAGGGCTCCTTGTGCTCAGGAACACTTGCCCTGCTGTGCAGCGTGCCAGCAAAAGGGAGCAGAAGCCCCTTGGCCTTTGGTGGCTCTCCTGGAGCCTCAACGCTTGCAGCAGAGTGGAGGGGCAGAGGCTGGAGGTGTGGGGATCCCTGAGGACCTTGTCCTTGGAGATGGCCACAAGCCCTCCCCCAGCCAGGAAGCAGCGTCTGTGTCCTGCCTGTGTGTTGCTGGCTGGATTGCTCTGGGCTCCCAAGTGCCTCTGGAGCGGCTCCTCTGGAGCTCCTTCAGGGCTGCACCGCTGCCGGGCAGGTTGGCGGGGCTGGGGGAGACCCGCAGGGGATGGGGCACTGGGATGCCAGGAAGGGGTGAGGTGCTGCGGAGGCCCTGATGGGACAAGGGAGCGGGAAACCTTGAGGGGAATCTGGGAGGGGGTGGGTGGCAGAAGGCTGCGAGGGGACAGACTGGGCACAGGCCCCAGGGGCAGGGTGGAGGGAAAAGGCCCCAGGACTTGGGGGGCAGAGGCCATAGGCAGCCCCCAGGCAGCCACCTCCTTCCCTGCCAGCCGGCTGCTCTGGTGCTTTCCCGAGGCATCTCCCAGCCCTGTGGCAGAGGCCCTGGAGGCCTCAGCAGCAGGGTGGGCACACCCCCAAGGGGGCCAGGCTGGCCAGGCTGGGGACAAGGAGGGCAAGGGGGCCCTGCCGGGGCACGTCCGCCGGGTGCTGCCGGCCAGGGGCAGTGGCACGGGCAGGGCTGGCGGCCAGCCCGGGCCCCCGCAGCTGCTCAGGCCACGGGGCTGTGTCTGACACCCTGCTGAGCCAGAGTTCTGGGCCCGCAGAGCTGCTGCCACCACGGGCAGGGCGCTGGGATCCTCAGGCAGGTCTGCTCACTCGCTGCTGCCCAAGCGGCTCCGCGCCCCACACACAACAGCACCAGAGGCTGCCCAGGAGCAGCAGCACCCACAACGCCCGGGCCTCCTCACCCAGGCACCCACACCCGCCAGGACGCCAAAAGTGGCCAGACTGTGGGCACAATTGCACCCGCTTTGGCAAAAGGCTTCAGGGCAAGTGGCCACCACAGCTTTCCAGTGACTCCCCAGCCTCACAGCAACCCTTGGCAGCTTCAGCTGCAACCTGTCCTCCTGACTGACTTCAACGGCCCTGCTTGAGGCTGGACGTGCCTTCCACACTCAGCTGTCCCCAGCCAGTGCCATTGGTGCCATCCTTAGAGACTCTGCTGGGACACCAGCCTCGGGCTGCAGCTGCTCAACCTCTCCTCCACACAGGCTCCACACACTTAAAAGAAAGTCTGGGGAAGAATCTGCCACATGACAGTTGGACAGGGCTTTTATAGTTATAAAGGGTTTGACAGCCAGACATATTTGCAGGCCAGGGAGCAGCTTCTCTGTCAAATCTTGCTTCAAAAAGAAGGATGTGAGTTTGAAGTTTCATGAAACATTCTGGGTTTAGCATAATTCAACATTAAAAACAGCACCTTGACACCAGCAGTAACTCACTACAGACAGTGTGCATTGTTTGCATTCTCTGACCATTTTTTAGGTATTAATAGAGCAGAGCATCCTGCCAGAAATGGCCCCTTGATTCCATGAGGTTCCAAAACCTCTCAGGGTTCCTTTGGTTCCATGAGGTTCTGGAGTGTCACAGTGGCCCTGATGATTTCATGAGTTTATACTATGCCCCAGGATTCCGTTGTTTCCTTGAGGCCCTGCAGTGTCACAATGGCTCCTTGATTCCACGATGTTCCAAAACATCCCAGTTTCCCTTGGCTCCAAGAGGCTCCCCAGTGTCCCACCGGCCCCTGGATTCCAGGAGGCCCTGCAGTGTCCCAATGGCCACTCGGTTCCATGAGCTCCTGTTCTGGTTTAGCCCAATTTCCCCATCCCATCATGTGCTCAGATGCCGGGAGAACTCGAGAGAACCAAGCTGAGAACACGCCGGGCCCTGGTCCTCTTTGGTGTCTGGGGCTGCCCCGAGAGGGAGTCCCCAGCCGCTGCCCCCGGAGCCGCCGCGCCGTCCCCTGAGCGCCGCTGAGGCGGCAGCGCTGGAGCGGGGCCGTGTCTGCCCGGAGCCGCCGCTGCCACGAGGCTGCCGCCGCTGCCGCTTTTCGCCTGCGCTGCCCCGCAGCCGCCCGGCACCGGCTTCCCAACACTGCCGGCGCCTGGAAGCGGAGCCAGCGCTCCTGCAGCACCTCAGAGTCGCTGCTCTGCCGCCAGAGCGGCTGCCGCCGGCGTCTGTGCCCGGAGCCGCCGCTGCCACGGGGCTGCCGCACTCACCGCCGGGGTTGCCGCTTGCGCAGCCGCCGCTCTGCCCCGGCTGCACCGGGACCCGGCACCGCCTCGGGCCTGCGCTGCCGCCTCAGCGGCCACAGGGGACAGAGGGATGGGGGGACCTTTGCTCTGCAGCTGCTGAGGCCTTGCTTTGTTCTGCTTGGTTCTTGGCTTTAGGAAAATTGCTGTTCATGTTCATGCTCCACTGGAACGCCTCATGAATTCCAAAGGTTTCCTAATGCAGGAGGAGGGGTTTCTATGGCATCGGAGGTCCCGCCCCTTGGGACACATTGTCAATAAACCATCTAGCTGACTGGGATGGGTGTAAGAGGTGGGGAACACAGGATAATCAGTCATCCCCTGAAAACCTTGGAACGATCTCTACCTGAATCGTAACCCAAATGGAACCGTTTGGATACAATTCCCAAATATTTTGGGAACTCCAGTCATTACTGACACCACGATGGACATTCAGCAGATAACTAAAGCCAGTCACCTTGTAAGCCCACAACCAGCAGTGCTGAGGGAGGCCCTGGCAGCTCCCCCGCACCTCCCTCTCAGTGGGACACCTCTGGCAGCCTCTCGCAGCTCGGGAACCCTCCAGTTTGCAACACTCCAAAGAACGTCGCTGATGCCCAGGACAATTCTGATCCCCCTCCACAAACACTCCTCCAGCTGTGACCCTTGTCTGTTGGGAAACACAAAGGGATTTGGGGGAGTGTTTCCCTGACAACAAGGAGAATTTTGGAGAGGGACCTTTCCACACCCAGCTATTGATGTGTCCACACATCTCTGCGTGGGTGTGGGTGTGAATACACTGTGGTGTGAATGATGTTGTTGTGAATCTATAATTCAGCCACTGTTAAAATTGTAGCAAATCCTATTGAATCACTTGATAACTGTTCAACTAGCCAATAATTAAATGCTAGTAATCTCTTTTGCCCCCTTATATTTATGTCCAAATCCTTTGCATCCTAACCCTCTTGCATCCCAAGGCTCTGTGTAAATCACTCCCTTTCATCAAAAAATATGTTTCGTGACTTCCACTTTAAAATCTTCCTCCTTAGCTAAACTACATAACAACTCTAATTAGTTGTTGATGTCTTGAAGACGTGAAGACAATTAAAGGAAGGGAAATAATTTGTTTTTCAATGTTTTAATGGGTCCCACAGTGTGTTTGGAGTTGCATCAGCTGTCAGTCCAAGATGGGGCATGTCAGAACTGGTGAGGTTGAGGGGTGACGAGCAAGGATGATCATACAGGGTTAGTCTGGATCTCCTGAGAAGATATTAAGCATCAAGATCACTTGGAGAACACTTCTATCACCTCTTCTCTGAACTAAAAATATCCATCATTGAATTGAATAAAAAAGTACCAACTTTGAAGACTTGTTTTGAAATTGCTTTGAAGACAATTAAAGGAAGACAAAGAGATCCTGAGGGATTTCTGCATTTTAATGAGCCCCACGATGTGTTTAGAGCTGTGTCCATGATCCTGAGATACTGAGAGAAGATTGAAGAAGCTGCTGAAGAAGTCAGAAGCCAAACTCCAAGTCCCTTGAAGCATTGCTGGGCCCCACTGAGGGCAGGCACTGACAAAGCCTCCCCAGGGACTCCTTGGAGCAGATCCTTGGAGGCCAGGAGTGCAGGCAGACAAAGGCTCTGGGCAGGCCCCTGCAATGCTGAGCAAAGCCTGCCTTGGTTTTGTGGAGCAGAAAGGCAAAGGCCTGAGCCCCAGGCCCTGACACAGCAGATCCTGTCCCTCCCGGCTGGCTCAGGGCTGTTTGGGGGGCAGTGGGATGGGAGGGGGAGGAACAACAAAGGCCAAACACTGGGCAACCCCTGCCAGGCTCCTGAGGGAGGGGCGAGGCAGAAACCAAGTGCAGAACCTTCCAGGAAAGTTGCTTGTGGTGGCCTGAGTGGCAGAGGCAGCTGCCAGAGGCAAGGGGACAAAGGCCTGGGTGCCTTTGGGCCTTGCAGCCCTGCCAGAGCCCTTGGCCATCTCTCCTGCAGGCTGTCCTGCCCTGGCCCTGCTGCTGCTCTGGCCTTGCAGGCTGCACACACCCCTCCTGCTTTCCCACCCCCCTCCCAGCAGCATTTCTAGACCCTCCCTGATGTCTCTGCACCAGCTCTGGCTGTTCCCTGGAACACAAAGTCATGCCATCACCCTCTTAGTGACCTCTGGCAGCATAAAGTTCCTCTTTGAATAACATTCCTTTTTCCTCACCTTCAGTCTGAACCTTCCAAGCTGCATTTTAGGGGTTTCTTTTTCTTTCCAGCACCAAGAAAAACTCCATCCTGTCAGATCTCCTCTAGACCCTCTCCAATTCTTCCTCATTCCTCCAGAATGGGGAACCTCACAGACAGTCAGACCAGTCCACATGTGATGACCCCAGGGCTGAG